TAACCTTAGCACCTACTGAAATTCAGGTGCAGATCTACAAAGTTTGAATTTATCCAACTGTGCCTGGCTTCAGTCTGGCTGCTGTGCTCAGCTCCTTCCTTCTGCCGCTCTTGGGAGTGAACCTGTTGTGCCCCTCTGGGAAGATGTTCTGCTACTGGACTAGCAGGGTGGTTCTCTCCCCTAGTCTCTCTGCAGGGACTGCTGCTATAGGGTTTCACCCCAGGCCTGTATTCCAGGCCTGAGCTGAGTCTGAAGGGAACAAAGTGGAGTAGGGGGGAGAGGAATTCTCCCACACACTCACTGGGCCTGGGCAAGGGCTTGATCTGGGGGTCCTGAGAACACTGCAGAAATTCTCAGTCACTGAGCAGGTGTGTTGGGGGGCTGCGGAGTGGTAGAGGGGTCTACAGAAAGGTGGGGGTTCCCAAGATCACAGAAGAGGGTCTCACCCACACTGCGCCTGGGCTTGGACCGAACAGGTCCCCCGAGCGCATGGTAGCCAGAAGGTCTCCCACACACTCACCAGTTCTGTGTTAGGACTGTATCTGGGGGTCCCAAGAACGGGGTAGAAGTTCTCATTCATTTGGCCGGCATGGGGGGGGTGCTGCAGAGTGGTGGTGGGGATCCCAAGATCGCAGAAGAGGGCCTCACCCATGCTGCACCTGGGCTTGGACCGGACACGTCCAGCGAGCGCAGGGTAGCTGGAAGCTCTCCCACACACTCACCGGGCGTGGGCTGATACTTTGTCTTTATTTTGATCAGCACATATTTGCAGTACGTAATGATTATACTCAACATGAGGACTTGGACCATGTTGTGACACATCTTGGTTCTATCTGTTCCAGGCCACCCCTCACCCCTTGACTGCATCTCTTGATTCTGTTTCCTTTTGAAAAGCTCTATCTCCTTGCTTTCTCTCATCTATTATCTATTTTGCCCTTTATTTGTGCTTTGGGCCTCTCCCAACAGATGTTTAGGCCTGAGGGCTAATTTATGTCACATAACATCATGGTCTCAAGGCACACCCATGTTCCTATGAATGACTGAAGGTTTTCTTTTTTATGGCAGAGTAGCGCTGTTCCATGTAGAGTAGCACTTTGTCTTTATCTGTTCATCTGTGGGTGTACATACAGGCCACTTCATTTCTCATGCTGGCTTCCAAAAGTGACTTTGGCTGTGTTGCTTCCCTTTCAATTGCATGAAAGAGGCCTGAACTCTTCCCGGCAGTTGTGATGGAGTGGCATTTGCTGGGTAGCGTTTTTGTTACTGTTTAATTTCATTCCAGTTACTGGCAATGAATTCCGTGTTTTTGTGTCTTCTTTTTTCATGCTTGGTAATTAGTAAGTATGTAGGAATCCACCCATCATTTCTTTTTTATGTTTTTTATTATTTTATTTCTATTAGTATCTATTTGTCATGCATAATAATCACATTCATCATCATGGGTGTATCAGTCAGGGTTTTACTAGAGGAACAGATGTAACACAAGATGTACAAATGTACAAGAAATGCCAAGATTGGCTTTCGACGGTCAGCCACAGAATCGGATGAGGAAGCGTGCACAGGGTGTCTGCACCTGGAGAGCGAGGGATTCAGTCCAAAGCCAGGAGCCCAGTGCAGGGTCTCATGCAAGTCCGCATCAGGAGGCCGACAGGTCTGTGATGGAAGGCTGATGGGTCTCCACCAGGAGGCTGGAGGATCCACGACAGAGGCTGAAGAGTCTTCTACAAGCCAGGAGACGATGTCCAAGCTGACTGCAAAGACCAAAAACCCTCTAAGGAAATGCAATGCTCCATCCTTTCTCAGTTCTCTTTTATATCCTTTAAGTGATGAGCCCTCTAGGGTGGGGCCTCCACCCCCTAGGGTGTGGAATTGCTGAGCCAGTTTAGTTAAGCTTTTAGCTTCTCAAGTTGACACAGTGCATCAACCAGTACAATGGGGAACTTGGTTAGTGACAAGGTTTCACTGTGTGGTTCAGGCTGGCATTGAGTTTACTATGTAGCCTATGCTGGCCTTAAACTCATAGCGATCCTCCTGCCTCCCCCTCCTGCGTGCTGGGATTGCAGATAATAGGGAATTTGTTTAGAATATTTTGCTGAGTTTACACACCTATAATATTCAATAACGGAACTTAGAAAAAATGGGGTATACCGATGAATGTCCATTTTGTATCTGT